CTCTCTCACACACACACACACACACACACACACACACACACACACACTCAGTCCGGTTCTACTCGTTTGGTTGGAATAGGGGTTGTTGTGGGGGAAGCTTATAACACACACACACACACACACACACACACACACACACACAGAGTAAAGCACATTCTTTGATCCAGATACTATCGTTAGGTTTTGAGTAGCTCTAGGACCTCTCCATTCATTTGTGGACTAGCCAGTGGCCTCCAATTTAGGGACTAGGGACTATGCTAACACCCTTCCTCGCTTTCTTCTCCTTGTTTTCTACGTCATCCTCCATTACCAAGTCTTGGGTGGGGACAATTGTGCAGCTGGCTTTTCTCTCTCACCATGTAACTCGTGATTCGGTTTTGATGATTTTAATGTTGATTGCCTCTCCGTCCCATGTTAGGGTAATTACTAAATTGACTCACTATCCTTCAAGGACACAATTGACCTTTTTTTCCCCCTGTTCTTAATGTCTTTCGCCGTCTTCATTGGTAGATCCCCATCATCCCAATATTACAATATTACTAGAGTTGGGAGAAGCCGGGTGTAAAAAAAGGCATCAACAGGTTCTAAGCATTGAAGTGAAATTACTAATTAGCAATTAAGCTTTATGGCAGTTTATGCACTATTATGCAGTTATGGGTTCTATACAGGAGTTGAGAGTCTTTAGACTCTTGAGAGAGATGTTCATCCAACCGACAGTGTACGCCTCATAGCCTCCTCGAAAGAACTCTGCACTATTCGTGCGCATCTGTCCGAGCGATTCGCTGAGCCTGGATAGCGTTCCTTGAGTGTTGATGTGGGGATGGGGGTAGGGGGGTGCAGTCAGGAGAAGGATGGAAGTGTGCTGCATGGATTTCAAAATTTGTTGAAAAAAGAAATGGACTAGAACTACAGTGCTGATGAATCTGGACAGATTTTGTGTGTGCAGTGCGTCTGAGAACAGAAAGCTTTGGCATCTCTGGCAGTTTTTCTTAGTGAAGGGTAAAGACGGTGCAGCTAAGCTATAGGCTTGTGGAGGGKACGGCAGCAATTACGATCGACCGAGTGGGGCAATAGGGCAACATGGCGTGGATCGTCAAGCACTGTCAAGCAGGTATACTATACTAGATTCGTTCAGGCGCTCTTGGGACCTATTTCTGGTCTTCCTTATTTTTTCTTCTTCTTCCTTTCTTCTCTTCTTTTCATTTTCATTTTTCTGTTTTTTTGAAAGGGCGACAGCCTTGAGATGTATTATCATCGAACTCACTGACGCCAGGCCGAGTGATTTAGAGTATTTTGAAGTTTTTTCACTCAGGTCTGCTTGTCAACAGTTGATGGGTCTCTACCGTTCGGCCACGTGGGCTGTTTATTTTTTTTCTTCTTCTTTTCTGGATCAGGTGTGAAGCAAATCTTATACAGAGTATTGCAGACTCTATTACAGAGTCCGTCTCAGTTTGGGATTGTCCATGGGAATGAGACCTCTCTGCATGTTGCCTCTTGTGCAGCATGAAGTAGTGTGAAGTTGCAACAAACTTTGGGCGGAGTTGTGGGTGTGAGGCATCCGTCGGGAGGGAGTAGGAGAACCGGTGTTCGTGGCAGAATCTTGTGCTGTTGTTTGTGCATCCCAGTTTGGGATTGTCCATGGGAATGAGACCCCTCCGCATACATTGCCTCTTGTGCAGCACGAAGTAGTGTGCAGTTGCAACGAACTTGGGTGGAGTTGTGGGTGTGATGCATCCGCCGGGAGGGAGTAGGAGAACCGGTGTTCATGGCAGAATCTTGTGCTGTTGTTTATCCGTCAAGTGGTCGGGGGGTCAGGAACTTCTTGGGTCGTATGTTCGAATCCTGTCTCCTCATGAGTCCTTGGTGGCGAAAAAGGGATGACAGTGCTACGGAAGAACCCCTTTGAGGGATATCCGGATCGTAGTCCCAGCCTTTGAGGCAGGTTGTGATGGCAAGTGGTTGGCGAGCTTGCACACATATTACTGTCATTCAAACATACACGAAATCAATAAATTGAATTTGAGTATTAGAAAAAAAAATCAATTCTCTTATTTCGATTATCATATTCCATGAATTCATGGAATATGATAATCGAAATAAGAGGATAGATTTTTTTTTCTAATACTCAAATTCAATTTATTAAGAATCGCAGCATTTGCAAAAGCAACTCCTTGGCCAGCGGAGAGGTTGTGTTCGTCCTCCTGAGGGCAAGGCGATCAACGGCGTGTTGGGTTGTGTCCTGTGTGTGCCACTCGGCCGCAGAAACTGACCTCCTCGTGTTTTTTTTTTTTTTTTTTTTTTTTTTTTTTTCCGAATTGGAGTCGTCATCTGTCGGGCAGTCTCGGTGGTGCGTCCGTGGGTCTTTCAGCTTTAGAAACCAGGATTAGAGTGGATGGCTCATTGACTGAACTTCCCTTTCAACGGAGGGCTAGCTCATGCATCCGGTACCTCCAAGCTCACGCGTCCGGTACCTTCATGGCTATTAAGTGACATTAAGATAGGTGTGTAGAATTGAACAGAGCACGTAATATGCTCTGCTCTGAAGACAAGTGTGGCGGCACAGCTGGATTGGAGACGCAGACTGACACAGTTGGTGGCTTACAGCTGGTCGAGAGACTCGGACTGATGTGGTCGGTGGCTCGACGTCAAGATAGGTGTGTAACTTAGTATGCTGCTCTGAAGACAAGTGTGGCACAGCTGGATGGGAGATGCAGACGCGGGCCGACGTGGTTGGTGGCGTGGCATGGCTTGGGTGTTGTAGTTGTCCCCCCTCGTGACGTACAGAAGAGGATTACAGTTGAAGGCTATAAGTCTAGCACAGAGTCGAACGGCTGATGTTGTGTCTCTGGGGGTGACCAAGAAGTGGATACCACCCGACGCCGCCGACGGGATGACCAAGAAGTGGCGAGCTTGGGCTGGCGTGGCCGGGGATGGCGAAACTTGCGCAATCGCCAATCAGTACGGGGGAAGGGCAGAACAGTGCAATCTGCGTTCTCGTCCAACCTGCTCAGGAAACCACCCACACCGACGCCGCTGCCAGGATGACCAAGAAGTGGCGAGCTTGGGCGGGCATGGCCTGGGATGGCGAAACTTGCGCAATCGCCAATCAGCAGGGGGGAAGGGCAGAATAGCGCAATCTGCATTCTCGTCCAACCTGCTCAGGAAACCACCCACAATGGTTGACCTTCAATGCAGGCCTTCCCTCGCTCTGATTCCGGCCTTTTTGCAGGACCTGTACCTCGACTCGCAGGCTGAAGGCGCGCAGAAGTGGGTGTCCGGTCTCCTTCCTTGGTCATCGCAAAGGAGTGAGGTGTCTGGTCTCCTTCCTTGGTCATTCTGAGTAGTGACCCTAGGGCCTGGGCGCATTGGGGCTCGGCGCCCCCCGTCTTACTGATGCGTCGGTGTACAGTGGAACCATTTTTTTGTGAGATGGTATAGCCAGTGATGGTCTTCGTTGGGGGTTGGTGGGGGTGACTCTACCCGATCGTCCGGAATCAGAGCGAGGAAGGAATGGTTAACGTTAGTGCAGACGGTAGAGTTTTCACAGAGGGCAACTTGCAGATCTGGTGCACTGACTGAACCGGCTGAAAGCTGCATGCTTAAAAAAAGAGGTGCATGCTTGGACAGACGAGTACTAGAATGCCTACAATTCAAAAGGGGGGAAGGCAGGGACTGGCGCCCACCGAATGTGGGCTTGTGCCGGTGGCTACATTTCAGGCTGTTATGGTGGGAAACCTGAAGTTGTTGTCACCGAAGGATCACATGGCAGCAGACTAAAATGGCAAAAACTGATACAGTGCATCTGAAGGCAAGGGTGGAGCTGATGTTGCAGGCGAGCCCACAGGGGCATACATGCAAAAATGGCTGCCCAGTGACAGGGTTCCCCGGGCCGTAATGTGGAGAAGCGTTGTGAGTGGGTGGGTGGGTCCCAAGTTTCTTTTCAGGGACGCTGGACCCGGTGTCCAGCAGGTATCGCTCCCCACCAACCGGAAGGAGCTTTGTTTGTTCCCCCCGCAAAAAAAAAAAGAACGGTAAATACGTGCCCAAAAAAAAAAAAAAAAAAAAAAAAAATCCAAAGAGTGATCCATATGCGCAGGCTAGATTGGCTTACCGTCACAGCCAATCAGGCGAACGCTAAGAGGCAGAGTGATGCAGCAAGGTCCGAGTGGAGGTACGAACTGACAAAGCAGACGGACACAGACTGAGGTAGGGCTCAACACGACAGAGCATGCTTTTTTCGAAGGTTGGGCACGCAAGGTGATATAGCAAGGTGACCA